TAAAAATAATTGATTATTCGAGAAATACTGGAAGAGCAATAAATATTTACACTCAAAGTACACATTTTTATGATATAAGTTATTTACTAGAAGAGGCCATTCGCCGTAGATTGAATAAACATAATTTCGCCTTTCATCTTCAAATCTCGTGATATATATGATCCACTGAGATTTGTTGTGAGTATATACAGTTTCCTTAGAACCAATCAGAAGCTAACTAAAAGGTTTTATTTAATCAGTTGTTAAAGGGAGAAAATTGATTTCGGTTTGTATTCAAAGCGATCCAGTTACTGAAATTTAAAAAAACTGGAAGAAAAAATAAGTAAATAATTTATCGATAAAAAGTAAATAAATTTTGATTTATTTTTCACTAGGTATAAAATTTATTATTTATAGTGAGTTTGAAACAGGTAATTATAAATAAAATAAACAATTAGCTTAAACAATTTTCAACTATTAAATTGAATTATATTCAGTATTTTTATTTGACTGATATTTATTCTAAAGGTCCAACAGACTTATTCGTTGTTTATGATATTATTGACTTTTATTGCAAATTTTGAGTCGGTGTATAATATAATAAAATTTTTTGAATTCATTGAATAATTGTATATAAATAATAGTAATTATTATTTATATCCAATTATTATATGAATTATTCGTGTGTAAATAATATTACAGTAATATAGTTGATTCATATTATTAAAATATTTTTTATTCAAGAATCTAAGTTACAATTGAAATAGATTATACTCGATTTCTAAGAACTTTGTAATAAAAAATGTTCTTTTATTTCTTTTAACTCGATATTGGTAACAGGCTCTAGACTGTGAAATCATATACAATAGAAATGTTCAAAAAGCAACTAAAGTATACTAAACATTTTTTTTTAAAATTAATTATCGTTGTAAAAGTATTTAAATATTTTTTGTTAAATAATCAGTATTTATATTGATGTTAAATCAAGTTATTTGGTTGTTTAATTGTAGTAATTAATTAATCATGTTCATTTAAGCTTGTTAATATGTATTATTTGTAAGTTAATAAAATAAATGAATCGTTGATTTTCTGATAGTTGTATACTTAAAATACTTATACCCTAACTAAATCAGTTATATTGTGTTTGTTCACAATCGATAGATTTTGAGATTTTGGTATTGAATACATATTAGTGTTTATATTTTAATAAAGAGCTTTTTAAAGATTCAAATTTCTATATACTGTACCGCATAAAAGTAAAAATGTATGAATCGTAACCAAGTATATATTAAAATTAGTGAAATAATAATTATTTTATCAGCACTTATAGGGAAATCGATAGACAATTTTTTTGTGAGTATCCATGAAATCAACTAATGTAAGCTAAATAATGTATCTGAAATAAACGTACTATGAGCTGTCAAAGACATTGTAATCATAAAGTGATATTTTCAGTCATTGTTTATAAGTTACCTTAGAAATTACCTTAGAGCGATTCACAGTAACTGTACAATAATGAATTGAACGAAATGAAGAGAAATTTCCATTATTTTGTACAGGTAGACTAAGGATGGTATCAAAATTTGCTTTAGTTCACTTAGTAAATCCTTTATTACCTGTTCTAAGGGTATCTACATTTCAACAGACACCAGAAAGTATAGCTTATGCGCGAGCTTAAAGACAAAATCTCTTTATAAAAAGGTAGATACCTTCTCTGTAGAACGCACCGCCAGTCTTTGGTACATAGTCATAGTATAGTTTCTATAGTAGAAAGATCTCAAAGAATTTTGCCGCCGAAATACGTCGCATTCCAATTTATCGGCTATATAAATTAATATCTATTTTCAATTNCTATAGAAAGATCTCAAAGAATTTTGCCGCCGAAATACGTCGCATTCCAATTTATCGGCTATATAAATTAATATCTATTTTCAATTATAAGAACTGGCGTTTACCCGTCGGCAACACACAAATCCCAATGGAATTGCGATGGGTTGATTGACATGTGAAGCCTGAACAATGTGATGCCAAATGTAAAAACCGAAATCCTTGATTCTTTGATTTCGAAACAGCAGATGTGGTAAAGTAGCGGTAAACTAATTTTTGATAAAAGGCTTTCTGTAGTTTTCAATCAGAAACTTTTTTACGCCAACATAGTTTAAAAAAACATTATGTCATATGACAAATAATTGGGCGATAGCGAAAGTGATGATAAAAAGTAATCATTTATTTTGTTGATGAGAAAAATGGAATTTATTTTTATTACTATTATTAATGACACAAAAAATCGAGATTTTAACACTGTCATTTATGCTGGGGAATTTGTGTTGGATTTTCTAAAATCAATTTTACCGGAAAATCATAACCCAATCGTTCCGCTTTAGTAGAAAATTGCTTTGCGACCAATTTAGTTTCCTTAAGTATTAGCGCCTGTGGTTAAGGATAACGCTATGAATATTGTCGATGCATTGTTATTGTTATACGTGTTAAGCCAAATACACTAGTAAAACTTTTCATTTTAGCCTATTCTATTTAGTTATGTTGACAAAGAGTCTAAATCCCATTAGTATCCCCATTCACAGTTTCTTAATCAAACACTATATATAGTAAAAAATAGTGTGATGGTGTCACGTTACCATTATTGTAAAAAATTATTATAATAAAACACAGACAGCACGTCTTCTACTACTGACTGATGAATTGACAATAAAAAATAATTATTGCAAAATTAGCAATCATTAAAATTACTATTTAAGCTCAAAGAATCTGATCATCGTGGTCAGAGGATTCCAGTACGCAGCCTTTTGCGTTTTGTCATTCATCAGTCTCAGTACTCAGTAGGTTGTCGCTGTCCGGCTTATTGTAAAAGTCAAGTCTTTGTTTTTCCTTTTCACTTATCTGCTTTCGTCCTCTACATTTCAGAGCACTCGTGACTTGCACTTTGTCTGCACCTCATACTTTGAGCTTTTCTTGAGTACACCTGGTATTTGTATCTTGCACCTCGTACTTAGATGGTACCCTTATTCCATTCCTATAAAAATGGCTTTACGACACCCACAGCCAATTCAGAGTGTCAGCTGAGCACGGTAACTACTGTACGATCACACGTATGTGAATATCCAGGCAGCAGACTCATTATCGTCTTCGTACCTACACAACATTTCCTTTCAGTGTTTTGTTTTGTATTTACGACAATAGGATTAAGGACATTTTAAACTAAATTCGGAAGAAGAAAACCAATAATATATAATTTTTTTTTAACTATTAATTTTCAATTTGGATAGATGTTTTAGAATTCAATATTTGTAATTCATTACATACTCACGTAAATAATAGTTCCATTTGAATTACCGACTTCATCATAGTTGGAAAAATAATTTTTTTCAAGCAAATATTTATATATAATGTCTACTTGAATTCGTCGACTAATCAAGTGATACAGTATAATTTATGGAAATAATTATTATTTTAGCTTTTTATACAATTAATTTTTAGTAATAATTATGTAGAGTTCTATTAATATCTGTTAGATATTTTTATATCAATTTAAAATAGCATACAAAGAACATAAAAAATTTTATATTTCACACGTAAAATTTGTGATACTGAAAATCTAATAAAATCATGTTAAAGTCTGCAGGTACACCTTTTTTGATAGATTTGAATAAAAACTAAAATATATAAAACGGTTTTCAATCGCATAAGCAATTTCCATAGCAAGTTTTGACTCCATTTTTACCTTAAAGCACTTTAAAAGGATGTATGCGTGAGGTTTGTATAAAAAAAACCACTCTTTTTCCTGTTTTTTGGCATTTTCATATAAAATATTTTGTTTTTATAGCATACATAGTTGAGCTTGTGACGCATGTGTTAGCTAGATCACGAAAATTACATTTGGTTCAGATGAAATTTTGTACAATAAAAGATACAAGTAATGCGCTACGTTTTACTTTATAACTGAAAATCAAGTTGCGTTTAGATTTTTGTATTCAATGGCCATTTAAGGATTTAAATCTTGTTTCTTTAAATATTTTGAAATAGAAACAAATAATTCCTTCGTTCAATTTTAATTCAATATTTTCAAGATAAAATTATTTAAATATTGTTTTTTAATAATTTTGTGTTTGTTCTCGATCTATAATATTTAAACAATTTTAAAAATTCTTACTGGTTTAATATGTTTTAACGGGATATAAATTACCAACTATTCATATTTTCGATCAATTAATTGACTATAAAGAAAAGTATTTAATTACAAAAAATGCATAAAAGATAGACGATCTTTTTTTCCTTTCATAAGGCTAACTTCAGAAAAATATTTACGATTATTTCTTTGACAAACAAAAGAATTATTACCATTATTATTATTTGTATAATGACAATAAATTGGAAAAGCTAATAGTACCCGAGGGGGTGTCACATTTATAAATTTTGTAGGAAATCACAGTATTTTCCGAATACTCATTAAAACATTTGACCCAATCAATAGTTGAAGTTCAAATTCAATGGTGAAATTAAGAAGGTTATATGTATGGCTATTGAGTCAACAGCAGTAGCATTTTCATAGAATTGAAAAAAAAACAATATTTCATTTACAATTGTGGTTTCGATAGAACTGAAGAACGTCAATTTATAAACGATGAGCAAGTGGAGGTCGATGGACCGAGGGTCCTTAGGGTTATTAATAATTGCGTATTTTGGACTTGTTTCTCCCTTATCGATACTACTTTCGCCAGCATTGTATATAATCGATCAGGTATATCAGCGTCGCATACAAACTCACAATAATAATTCTACCTATTTATGTTTGAGTGAATTGTCGTGAGGCAAATTGTGTTGGTTGAATGATTTAGTCGGAAAAGGGAATTGAATTTCTAACTCTTTCTTTGTCTCTTTTGAGTGAGAGGGAAAATATACCGTAAAATGATTAATGATGACGACTGTTTGGCAAAATCGGTCGATCCATTTATATCTATGGAACTGAATGTTCCAGATGTTTCTGAATAAATTGATTTATGTAGATAACTCGTGTTGTATTTTCAAATGACGTCCAAATAGTATTGTTAAGACGGTCAAAATAGTTATGAATTATAACTATGATTTTCATATATAACGCATAGAAAACTTAAAAATACAAAGTATATAAGCAATTTTTCAAAATAGCCTCTTGAAACTCTTCTCTACTTTAATATCTCGCATGTCATATAATTTTTTATCTATTTATTATAAATGTCCTCTCATAAAAGCTATTGCTTGTGCCAGAGAGGACTACTTAGTCCAGTAATACGGAATTGGATCTTCGGTAAGTGGGTACCGAGGCACAATGCTTTCCTGATTGAGCTAATTAGACCACCTTATTTGTGACTAGTAAATTTTCTTAAATAAAAATACAAATCTAGTAGTATTAGTAACTCAACAACTGAAATAATTTTATAGATACACTTTAACATATTTTTTTTTGTTTATATGAAACTATTTTGATATTTTAACCTATGAAATAAGCAAAAAAAGTAGTATAAAAATGGTAAGATGCAAAATTATTTTTGGTATTCACAATGTTCCAGTAGTCTCCATAAATTATGAAATATGAAAATTGCAGGATGCCAATTCCCAAAAGTATTAGAATACTTCAAAAAATATTATACAAAATTTGATGACTACGATTAATACGTAACGTGAGGGGGTAAAAAATTTATTCCAAAGGGTAATTTTTTTACTTATTTCAATTGTTTTTATGATTACACAAAATTGTATAGAAAATGTTTTGTAGATCGTTTATATCTCAAAAAATTGAATTCTTATGACATTTTTGAAAAAATTATTTAGTTAAAAAAAAAAAGAAAATATTAAAACATCTATTTTTACCGGTAAAATCATTATTTTATTTTTAAATACATTTTAAAAACGACGTACTAATAAAAAAAACATTTTTAGTAAAAGTTATATAATTTAAATTTTCTATAGTATTGTTTATCGTTAATATTATTCGTTTGTTAGAACTTAATACAACTTCACAAGTTTTTAATGCATTAACCATTTTAACTTTTGTATTTGTGGACAAGCTGTCATCAAAAATACTACGAAAAGTAGCTGTTTCGGTGCTATATACCATAAATAACCAGATATATTTTTAAAGCTTTTTTAGAAATATCTTCATCTATTATTATTATTATTATTATTATATTAAACATTGAATAAATTGTAGACCTTGATTTGGTGCTAATGCATCATTTGATGAAAAAATCATTGTTTATGTATAAGCTTGTTATAAAAATACACAACAAACGCATATTGTTTTTTTCTTTAGGTGTCAATTTAAATTTGTTTTTAAATAAAAATATGCTTATAAAATAATGAGACTTCCATGGACCGCAATGAATAGGCCCAGGAAAAAATAAATTTCTCTCGTTGATGATTCTTCTAAAAATATTTAAAAGTTTTCTATAGTCATCGCGAGGTATATATAGTTGATAAAAACAAAATTTCAAAATATAGTACCTTTTATTTTTGCTTAAATGAAAAAATCATCTAAAACACTTTTAAAATTGTATTTATATTTCGTCAATACTTTTCAAATGGTTTAATTATAGATACTTCTTGCGCAATTGAAATGGGAAACTTGATTTTAAAAAAACTTTTTTGAACAATGTCAAAATAATGTCTACAGGTAAGTATAGTGGTATATCTACTGACTGTATATTACATCCTAAAACTAACTCTAAAACTAAAACCTTTAATTTTACCCGTATTAAACGCAGTTGCGCCATAACATAATGTTTGTACTTTTTTAACCAACCCAACCTTTCAAGAAATGATGAAATGACAGCTGTTGTTGACATTCACCCGAACTAGTAGAAATACGGTACACCAATTAATTGTTCATTTTTTTATAGGAATTAAATTATAGGTAATCTTTCTACTATCTTACCAATAATAAAGAAAGAATTATTTCATTACAATAAATGTAATAATTAAAAATTGCATAATAATTATTATTAAGCAATTTTTTCACGGGAACTTTTTCTAATATTAATTATTGATGTTTTATTAATAATTTATTGTGATGTATCAAAACTAAAAGATTCTGCGTTAGCCATTAAAATATGAACAGCGTCTCTGTTGGTTATCTTATATTTATCAAATATAAGCTACTAGAATTGTAATTATAATATTTGTATTAAATTTGGGGAAGACTAGTAATAAATAATATGATAAGTACAACGAATGACGCATGTGAAAATTGATTACTATCTAATTAGTAGAAATTTAACATTGTGATACCATTTATTTTTCTTTTGAAATATTTAAGAAAAAGACTTGTTTGTGTTATTATCTTGATGAAATTATTTATGCTATTTAATCTTTGTATTTAATGAATAAAAAAATTGACTAAAAAATAATTTATTACAATGGTAAATAATCTATGTTCATATTTAGCTCTATTATTATTGGAAAAAATTAACGATGGTATCGTTAATATCGTATTATTTTATATGAAAAATCATCACGTGTTAGACCTTAAGTCACGTATTGCATTTCAAATTGTTCTTATATTTTCGTTTGTTGTATTTTCTAATACTGTAAATACTGTAAAATAAAGTTTTACTATTCATTTATCCACAATTTAAGTCCCACAATGGTTAAATATTGTATATTCAATATCAATAATTGTTGAGGTGTTATAAACAGTAATTGATTAGGAAGTCGTTCAAATAAGTTTAAAATTACCCAAAATATACAAACAGAATAGTAATGAAAGATGTGTACTGCTATATGGCAGAATTATGTGAATCACTATAACAATTTTAGTGCAGAATGGCCGCCAGAGAATTAAGTGCTCAAGGAGATCGTTTTCTATGTAAACATCAGATTGGTGACAACACTTAAACAAAGGATACTTAATATGATTTTCTATCGTAATCCCGGATTTATATTTTGAACAATTCAATACGAGGAACCATCGTATGTAATTTATTATTGAATTACAGTTTATAAAATTTTCTAGAGATTAGGGATGAGGCTTAGGACTCACAGAAGAAAAAACCGAATGGATTTCGAAACATAATTATCCATTACTATGGGCAATTTATAGTCAGAAAATAAATTCTTATATTATTTGTGTACATTATATTGTTATATTATTATTTATTATTTTTAAATTACAATTTTATTTAAAATTAACAACTTAAAATGTCTTTTTACGAATTTAATGACATAATTTGAGTAAATTTTAAATTTTCAAAAAACTTAAATGGGTAGTATATTTTATAATTAGTAGCTAAGTAGGTGTGATGACCGATATAGTTGTTTTTATGCTTTAAAATTTGTCGAGTTGGTGTAAAGTTTTGCTTTTAAACTAACAATAATAAAATAGAAAATGCGTGGTCGCTTTTTAATCCGTTTAGCCGTGATGCGTTTATAGTGTTATAATAAAACAAATATGTGCCACATTTCTGATATTATTATTATTATAAATACTAGTTATATATACTGAATAAATAAAATACTTTTGATGATGTAAATGTTTTACTTTATTTTTTCATGAAGTTATAGAATGTTGTTTAAGTAGATTAATTTATCCGTAGCACAGTCAAATAGGACTTTGAAAAACTATTTAATTTTAAATTTAGTTTAATATATTACTTTTATAAAACAAATGACATTTCATTGATAAAATATTGTTTATTTTTGACAGGTATGAATTCAATTTAATTGAAAAATTTTATGAACAAGAAGAAAAGTTATCAATGTTGTAATAAGCTGCGCTTCAAAAGTATGTGATTAATTAAGTGTATTTAAAAGTACAATATAGTAATCCGTCAGTAATAGCATTGAACTTAATTTTCTGTTTTAATTTACTTAATAATTGATGTGCAATTTAATGCAATAATCTACATGGAAAAAATGTCAACTTCCTTTAAAGACGGTATTATTTTATTATTATATTATAGAGATGATGATTCTGTAAAAACTAAAATAACAATTTTTGGTGAACATTTGGAAAATTTCACTTGGAATTTCTATTGTTCGGCTACGTATTTGAAAACTTTCGGTGTACTCCGCAATTAAGTGTAATTCTAAGTGCGATTTTAATTGTATCTAATAAGATTTGACGCGTTGTTTTATTTCGGTAATAAAGCCTGTCATTTTAGTTGTTTAAAGTTATATGTCGATTTCTGCACGTAGTATTGAAGTTGTAATAACTATTAAAGGTCTGCGAGTAATCTTTGTAAAACTGTTTCATAATTTAGGGTTGAGTTTTTATCTTGTCGTACGATTATTGTACTAATGTTATAAATCACAAAGCTAGAATTTCTTAGGATAGTTAAAATACTAATTACCATATATAATTATATGTGGCAATTAAATTTTACCATTATAATTGTAACACTCGTATGTATTGAGAAAAATTTTTTGTTTTGAGATAAGAAAACCTTTTAGGAAACATAAAGAGAATAACATTTTTCAAAAAAAAAAAATATATCATAAATAATACCAAAAGGTTAATTTCAGCCATAATCCGATATTGAATATATATGAATGTAAGATTTCTTAATAATTCATGAAATTTGATAATCTCTATTATCGTTTGTGTTATAACAAATCGTAATGTGTATTTTATTGTTGAAGTACCGGTTTACATCCGGACCACGTAGTATTATTAACACACAAATAACAATAAAATTAATTAATATAGATGTGTCTGTGGAGTTGACTATTTCAATAAGTAAATCCGCAACAATTTGTTTGTGACTGTTGAACAAATATTAAATGATATTTAACAACAAATTAGGTTTTTTTTTATTTAAATTCATTTTAGTTATTAAAATCAAAACATTTGGATGAAAACCCCAACGGTCCAGTTTTAAATAAATACTTCAATAGTTCTTAGTGTACTTGCATTATTCAGACAAACTGAGAGATACTTTTACATTGCAACATAGAAATTAAATTATTTATAATTAATTTCTTGTGTAGATTTTCATGAATGGTCAAATTTGAAAAGAACCGTATATACGCATTAGTGTGCAATTAAATAATTTAATTGTATACAAATCGTAATTATTTTAAACGAAAAAAAAATTAATTTTATTTATCAAATATTTTAATTAAAAATAATAATTGGCTATAGTAATTAATAATATGTAAAAATATCATCATTTTAGATATGACAATTTTATTCATCTGTTCTTTATACTTAAAAGAAATAAACTTTGGTAACACTTCTCTAAACAATTCAAATAGTCTAATGTCTCTATTTGCCTCCCCATATAAACATCATTGGTGTTCTTACAAGATGGTTAAATATCCAATAACAAAAATACACATGAACGACACAAAATTGATAGTGGTGATAAAAGAATTCTTATGTAAATGTCCTCTATGATAAACTCACGAGAACAACACTGGTGAATGACACAGCCTCTTAAAATTAATTAAAAATTGTTGAGCTTCTTAGTATATTTTTTAGTGATTAATTACGGTAGGTCACCTCGTGCATTGTAGTTCAAATTAGCCACGTTCACAGTCTGCCCTCGTCAATTTATTCTGAGCTTACTATTCAGGTTGAATAATAGGGTTATATTTGTACACTAATTAACTTTTAGCTTTGTGGTGGCCAACTTTCAACCAGCTAAAGTTATAAATTATAATTCTTTATATTAAAAAAAATATATTACGTTCCGCTTGCTAAATATCTCACGAAATTAAGCGAAAATATATTTATTTTGTTAAATTAATAGTGGTTAGTTATTTTAAGAGGTAGAACTTTATTTACAAGAAATCTTTAGTCACATGATGTTTTTAAATGAACGATAATAACTAATAATGGCCGGAAGGCTCATTTCTTTCAATTTACTTCAAAGAGCTCATCAAAAGCTATTTCCTTTTTTTCAAATTTTTGATTTATTATTATTATTATTATTTTGTTTTACACAAACAATAAACGAAGTATAAATATAAATTATTTTACGTATTTTCGGTATAAAATGTAGAAATGTGTTTTCTTTATTATAACTTGTACATTTTTTTATAGCCATTATACAAAAAAGAACAAATATTTCATGAAATTACTAAAACACGTATAATGTTTTTATTAAAATGAAACATAGAAGTAAATATTTCCTTAATTATTAGCAATTTTATTTTAGTAGTTCATTAGAAACATGGTACTAAAATTGTTAATGGGCGGCACTCTTTTTCTGATCATTTTGTATATTATATATTTAAAAATAATTTTAATGACTTTGAAATTGTATATTATACTATATGTAACTTATTATATATATTTTAACATGAGCATTATCTGTTTATTAAACTAACATTTTCAAATCACGAGATTATTTTTTAGGTCATTAATTTTTAAATGATATTTTATTTGATTCTTCATGAAACATTAAGTATGCCTTGTAATACTTGCAATACTAAGACATAATGAGATTCCGTGTGTATTTTCTTAAGCCCTTTTTAATTAGTCTTCTTTAAATGCCAGTAATAAAAAAATTGCACATTACGTATTTATACATAATTCATGATCATTGGATCGTGTAATTCTTTTAAATTGTTCTCTTGCTAAAACTCATATAGCACTTTGATGTTCTCCTTGAAATAAAACAAATATTATGTTACTTGTAACCTAATTTTTCTTTAAAAAAAGATAGATCAAATTACATAGCGTCTAGGATGATTTTGTCGAAAATTTTTATAAAACTTTAAGTACATAATTTTAATGATTAACCAATATTTTCAAATGCCTTGTCCTTATTTTTGTTACTGTATTAATATTATTTCCAAACATTATATAGGTATTATATAGAAGATTTTATAAATTTTATAGCAATGTCAAAAAATCGTTAAAACAAACGGTAACAACGAAAAATGGAAAAGCAAATACACAATAAATGTTTACTGTTTGTGTTCATCATACATTATATTTCGCACACTTACAATCCGTTATATATTGGTACGAAGCTTTGTCAACCATAGACTTTTTGAAATTGATCTTTCCTAAAGCCTTGAAACAGAAATACCTCTGTGACTCGTTAAAGTGAAAAGTTTTGTTTTTTGAAATCTAAACAAGACTGATTTGAATTTTACCAGATCTTAAAGCTTAGACTCATACATATAGCCTTAGGAAATTGTTCCATGTTTCTTTCGTCAAATTATAAAGCACATTCCGCCGTTGTTAAGGGAAATAAAAAGTTTTTATGTTTATAAAGATATGAACAAACGACAATAAGAAATTGAAAAGTTTTATGATTTTGTATGGTTTAAAAGAATATTTGTGTTTTAATTTTACTTTATACTTTACTAATATTAATTTAAACATTTTTATTTTATTTTAATATGCATTACTAGAATTGTCTATTAAATAATTTTAATTGATCACTTTAAATCTAAATAATACTTGAAAATCTGATTAATTACATTATTAATTCTATGACAAAACAATTTTATTTAATTATTTTGTACATATATATATCATTTAATCATATATTTCTAATTTCTAATTAGTCTTAAAGTTATAGATTATAGGATACTATTGACTAATGAAGAAAAAAATTGTAACATGTTTTATAATTTTAAAGATATAGCGTTTATGTATAGCTAATAGATATATAGNTACTATTGACTTATGAAGAAAAAAATTGTAACATGTTTTATAATTTTAAAGATATAGCGTTTATGTATAGCTAATAGATATATAGTTGATCAATCACTCTGTATAATATTTGACTTTTTAATTGGAAAAAATGAGTTAAAATTGAATTATAAGTTGAAATATAATCTTAAAAACAGAAAAGTAAAAAAATATATATATATTGTTATTATAAAATAATTTTATCCAATTTAAAAATAACTTTGGTTGTTCTTTCGAATGCTAAAAAAAAAGTTAAAAAAAAGTAAACTTTGATTGTTATAGTCAAAAATTGTTTGTTAGTATACTATCATATACAGAGTGTTTAAAAAGCTAGAACATAAGTCAATTTTTATGAAAAATGAGAACAATAAAAACCCATTACCTTACTTACTGAATACCCTTTGTAATGGATATCAGCCAAAAAACTGTAATCGTTTAAATTATCATATCCACTGTGTGTATATTACACAATAAAAGCATACGGAAATTCTCAAGAAAAAGTTAGTATTTTTATATTTTGGATATATCTGCAACGGATCGCAAAAATGCCTTAACCGCTGTAAATATTTTATCATTCAAAATATATATTTTTCAAGTTAAATATAAAAATTCAAATGAAAAGACCCTTTACTAAAACGTATTTCCAGCGAGAAAAATACCTGCGAGACTGTAAAACATTATGTAAATATATGGATTTATGAAAATGATTGCAGAGATTGACCTTAAAAAAAAACTTGCATCTATCTACATGCAATAAATTATTACGTTATTGAGAATCTTTTTGTACTTATTTAATACTATTTACCATATCTCTTGTAAAATCCTGCGATAAAATTAAATTTCAAAAAGACTTGACACGTTGCTAAAAATTGGTTAACATTAGTAAAAAATGTATTGCATATTTTCAAAAACTGTAATCATGAAATAAATATTTGAAAAAATTATACTACTTTTTTTAACGTTCCAGTAATTATCAATAACTCATAAATGGCTTAATGAAAAATACTTGAAAGCTGCATTTTATCTGACATGAAGTACTGTTCTTCAATATCGTATTTTTGTAAATAGATAAACGATTCCAATTATCTAATTTAATTGATCAACTTTTTATTATTGCTAGTGGTAATTTGTAAAAGATTATTTTAAGTTAGTAAACCTAATAATGAATAAACGCTAAAACTTTAGCTCGTTAATATGGTTCCAACCGGAACAACGATAAATGGCTAAATTAGAATTTAAGGTTCTGTATAAACGAGATAAAATTATCTAAAAGATTTTGTATTTAAACTTAAAACTTTGTAAGAATTAAAGATAACTTAGAATGTTATTTGAAAACTTCTCCAGTAGAATAATCTTTTATTACTTATAATTTGACCGATTATATGCTTGGTTATGAAAATTAAAATAACAAAATTTAAAGGTTTAATTAATGACCAGTTTTAATAAATCGAAATATTATTATTGTTTTTTTAATGGTTTAAACCTTTTTTTACAACATTCAAAGAGTAACTTTTGAACTTATTACAGGAATCCTGAAAGTATAGCAGTATTCAACTAAATGTCACTAAAAAAAAGGTATTTGTTTGGAAGGGGTTCATTCAAGGTTGGGTTAAAGAGAGCAGAGGCATAGTCTTTGGTTCTCAGATTTTCCCCTTACAGTATAAGGTTAAAATGGCATATATGACATGGATATCTCATTTAAATATTAAACCTTGATCCGAACTTGGGTTTAATTATTTATATATTACTTTAAGTTAAAATTTAATGAAAAAAAAATGTTATGTATTAAATCCATTCGATTTTATGTGCAAATTATGTAATAATTATATATATAAATATATATATTTTTAAAAACGTGGAAAGTTAATTTGTTAGGCATTACCGACTTTCTGTTAGTCGATCAATAGCTTAAGTGTCATTTTCGACTGGCCCAGCTAACAGATTAAACATTGTAATCCCGTGATTTTTTAGTTTTCAAAGGTTGGTGCTCTGTTGAATGTAAAACGTGATCGTTATACTGATGCATTCGATGTTTCAATTATTTAACTTGCTAAAGGATAGTCGAAAAAGCTGTCACAGCAGATGGGACCGCGTGCTTCGCATAACTTACCCTAAAACGGACCAGAGAAATTTTGTCGTTAGCTAGTGTGATAGTTCTCCATGTAACTCATTATTTTCATCATACCTATATACAAGCAAACCGCTATTAGCCATGAATATAGTGATGACTTCAAACACAAAGAAAGTTATGTTTCACTCTTAAATCAACTTCTATAGTAAGAATAACAAAACTCTAGCTCCAAAAAATATTTATCTTTTTTAATATTTCAAATTTTGTCAATTGTACTTATTTAAGTTCATTTAATTAATGATAGCCAATGACGCATAGAATTGATTTACCATCAACAAAACGCTAGTAATTAAAAAAACTTCTGTTAGATGTGTAAACAAATTTTATCCACGTACGAGTCAAAAATTAAGTTTTTGAAATTGTTTTATATTATTTATAAAAACATAAAACTTATTAACGCTCCTTCTCTTTAATATATTTGACTTTTTGAAACTCTTTCTATATATATATATATATATATTCGCATTGATGCGTTTTTAATAGTGATGTTTTTTAACGTTGGGTTACAACTGCAGTGAGTTTTCCATTTTTTTTTTGTCATTTGTGTAGTTCTAAAACTATAATTCAGTACAATGGTTATTTATTTGCTTGAAAAACGTTAACTAGCAGGAATGTTATTGAACATTTTTTTATTTGATTAACAAATTTATAATAATTATAAATGATTTGATTTAAATTAATTTAAATAATTGATTTTAGGTTATTTAGGATAAAAATTACTGTTCATTGTTACAGCTGCGAATAGGAAGACAGCTGTGATAATTTTAGAACGTTAAGAAAACGTTTAAGCAAAGTCAGAATTACAATAAATCCTGTTGCTTTCCAGCGTTGATACCGCGGAATTTGGCGGCGTCTGATAATTATTAACGCTGTTGCCGGGCCGTTTCTGAAATACTGTGCATCATTTGTTTAAGAACGGGTAGTTCTACGGTATTATTATCTCTTACCTAAATTATTTGAAAAATCGCTCAGCACCCAATGTACACACAAATGATGATAAAACAGTATCTCTAAGTATTACTTGAACAACAATTATTACGTACCGGAAAAACGCGCTTTTGTTTAGCTTAATAACGTCTGACGATAAACAAAAGTGCCATAGAAATAATAGTATAATCGTACATGTTAGTCTTTTAAAAAGTTTAATGCTAGATGCATGCATAAACTTAACTGTGCACTTTTTAGTTTGAGAAGAACTATTATCGTGTTTTGAGATAGTATTGCGAAGAAAAACTTTTCCAACAAAGAAATTTTATTGTATTCTCAGTTATAATGTTATAAATGATCTCAATAAATTTAAAATATGTGTAACATTTTATAATAATAGTTGCTTCGTATACTTTTTTTTATACTTTATATAGATGTATATTAATTTTTAATTGGACCGATGAAAATTTATTTACTCGATAAACATCAAATTTTATTAAATTTTTCAAGAAAGTTACACTGCTAGCTATTGACTTTAATTTTTTTAGCGGATGGAACATGATTTAATTATTTCTATAGATAATTATAAATTTAAGACAACTGCAGTTGACTCAATTAAAAATTATGCTAAATAATTTTACTAAATTACTACATTTTTATTATAATGTTTATTATTTAAAATAAAAAATAAATCAAAAGAATTAGATTTTTTTATATATTTATAAATGTATGATGTATAATAAAAAATAACATTTTTAAAATATAGATGTATTTAAAAAAAGTATAAAAGTAATCTATTCTTTATATTTTACAAAATAGTAATATAATCACTTTTACTATCATAATTATTTCTTTTTAAAGTTGAGTAGTGTGCTCTTACTCAGTGAAAGTTCGTCTAGTTTTATTCAAATGAATTAATTAAATATCACAATTGTAAAATAACAAATTTGGGTCTTCGACAATATTTTTTGTAGAGCCCTGGTGGTAATAATCATGTTTTAATGGTTTGAACCTACAGTGCCCCTTAAATACATTTTATATGAATTTAAATCATGCTTTAAAATAAAATATGTGACACTATAAAATAATATGAACCGTTGACTTAGAGAAGAGAAAAGATAAAAAGGTTCTTGTTAAGAGGATTTACGTGTTGTCAAGGATCAAAAAAAAGATTATCGAGCATCCTCTTATTATTAGGTTAACTTTAGTAAAACAATTTTATATGTTCAAGAAACCTTATTTCTACACACTGAAAGTATCTTACTTCCATTTTACATTCCTCTAGTAAATTTATTTTGTTTATATAATGCATGTCATTTTAAAGCTTTTAGGAAACAAGTAACAAGACATTATTTATACAAACTTGTGTAAATATATAAAACTTGAGGTAAATAAACTGTTGTTTTTATACCATATACAGAGTGAATAAAGAAAACATAACAAATCCATAGATCATTTTGCTTTAATTTTTGTTACAAACAATTTTTTATACCAAGTTAAAAGCATATTTTTTATTACATTTTTCTAATAAGAAAATTTTTCTAAAATAGCCATTTTTTAGCTCTATTTGTACAATCATTTTTTATATATTATTAAAATTAAATTTGATAGAGTATTTTCATCGAAGCCAATAGTAAATAAATTGCAAAGAGTTTTGTGAGAATAACAAAATTATTAATTTTACTATTAAATGTCTAAGTAAAAATTGTCGAATTTCCGTCGTTTTCCGTGGTCTGTTGGCTTAAGTTCCTGTGTTAATTGAACTTTGTACGCTTGCAAGTGCAAATATTTTGTAAAAAATTCTTTGGACTGTTGCTGGCGATATCTCTTGTGCACGAGGTCGACACGATTTTCTTGGACTTACCGAACGGAATCTTACACAACACTAACATTCACCTCACTTCGACCACTTCGAAAGGCGGTTTTGTTGTATTGTGTAGAACCCCTTTCTTCGAATTTCTTAATCAACGAACAGTTGATTCGTTTGTTGCATTTTGAAGTCCAAGAATCGAACGGAGTTTCCGTACAGTCAATGTTCACCATTCTGGTAGTGAATGTTTAGTACACTCTGTTTTTTACTGTACCTTTCCATTGCTTTTATATCACTTTAAATTATTAATGTTTAAATAAAATAAATTGAAAAATACATGAACATAAATATTGAATATTAATAATAAAATAGTAATAATTCTATAGAATAGAACGTCTTTTAGAGTGGTATATTTTTATTGCGATAGAAATAAAAAGGTGATATGCTGTTTTGTGAAATGTAGTAAAATAAATAACAGACAATTATATGGTAGGAAAATAGCCGTAAATATTTACCAATCCACTGATATAAGTTGATATATTTGTTTAAAAATTGAGCAAAAGATGTTTAGTTTATCGATAGTAACTTGGTCGATGTCCTCTTGATAGTGTGCATTACTTTGTGTGAAAAATAATAATCTATGAACAGCTTGTTGCTTCCAAGTGCTTCGGTCACGCAATGCATTCAAGAGTGTTGTAAGAACAATCGGCCTAAAAACCATAACATAAAAAGATATAATAGTCACGCGTAACCTAAAGCTTCAAACCTTTTGTTCGAACTAAAAGTTTTGTTCAAGTTGCAAGTGATAATTGTAACAACTTTTCACGTGGTGTAACGCCTTTACTAATCCTGTATACTATTTAATTTAACTCTGCGAAAATAATTTCTTACCATTATGTATCTGAATACACTTAGATAAACTTATTTTTATTCATACTGTATAATATTATGTTTTGAAGAAGTAAAACCGGTCATAAAATATTTTTAAAAATAATTTTTTTTATAAAATTGTGTTGAAAAATCAGTATTTTCATTTAGAAGGCAAAAAATCGATTTTTTTTTTCACATAATATATTTATCATACGAGCTCATTACTTTATTACAGAAATTAATATATGTGTCAATAGAAAGCAAGACCCCTTGGTCTGACTGGCTAAACCACAGTGAAAAATAATAGAATACTGGATGTTCCACAAGGGGCATTTTTTTTTTATCAAAAAATTAAAAATATTTTAAAAATTTATTTTATGTCAGTGACTTATATCTTTGTTAAAATATTAATGTGTATGGAATATTACAAATCACAATATATACGTATTACTCAATCAGTTATCCAAAACTTGGGAACTGAACGAGGCATCGATTGGAGATTACAATATTTACACCGAATAATTTATACGTGCCGTCAATCGCGTGAAGAGGCCAAGGGACACGTAAAGCAATTAATTTTGAAAACTTTTTTTGCGATAATACGATTATTGTAAAAAATCCAGAGTAAACCTTTTGTTTTAAATTATACAAGTTTTTATAGGAATAAAAGGCATTTTGAGTGTTAAACGCTATACCTTTTATTTTTTACCAAGGCAACGACTGTTCTTGTAATTAAATTTGCTCCTAAATTTTATAAAATAAATTACGTTTCGTACAAAGGAAATGTTTTTGGATGCGGAACGTCAACTGTTATAGGGAAATGTTTGAACTGAAAATTGATAAAGTGTTCAAGGAAGCTATCACTTAAGTTAAAATTCTTACATAGATTTGTATTTTTCGATTTTCTCTGAAAACTTTTAATGAAATTTAAATTCTCTTATACAAATCTACTATTGTTTTATTTGCATAATATGAAATGTCTGACAGCTATCTTAAATTATTTACTACTTAGTATATTTGTCGTAGAATATTCTCATTGGTAATTTATTACTAATAGATTATTATGATAGAATAATTAATAGCTAAATATTTCTCAATAATGTTGAATTCACCACATAAGCTCTAAGTGTACATTTTTTACAACTGTTTTTAAGTTAATTTAATAATTATTACTTGTATAATTTGTAATCAATTCTGTTTTTGTCTACCAACACAACCGGAATCGTCATTTTATCAGTATTTTATGCAACACACTAATTTGCAATAAATAAATATTGGCGTCAGCAGTATTTTTTTATCAATTACAAACAAGAGATCGAGCGGTAACAGGTTGCACCATCTGGAATTATTTTATTTATTTAGTAATCCTAAAAGCTTTTTACATAAAAAAAAAAAAAATTATGACCTACATAGCCGTCTGCTCCATTTTTACTATTCGTTTGGCCTAAATGCCATTGCAATATGGTTATTGGCATTATAATAGCCATATTCACCCAAAGTGCATATCAAAGACCTTTCGATTGTCGCACGCAATAGTGGTATTAAAATCTCTACTAGGGAGATGGTACAGTGAAATTGTAATTTCCATAGAAACGACATCGTTAACGCTCTCAATAGTACCGTAATACTACAAACACCCCCTACACTATCCTATAACCAACTAGACGGATACTAAATGAACTATATTTTGCCTTTGGTTACAAGGGACTTCGGGTAGAGTACTTTATAAGTAACTTCAAGGCATAGCATTACATAATATATGTATCGGTTGATTTGCTTTAGTCTTGTCCATTAAAAAACTGGCCGTCTACATAGGCTTAATGGTTGCATGCCGTGCTACACAACAGGAGGAGTGTATACCGATAAGAAATGCCTGTAGAATAATAATCTTCATTATGGAACGGAGTAATGATAGACATATAGATGGACAGAATAGAGTTTGTAATGGGTAACGATGTCGCCATGTGTGGTAACGTTGTTTATTATTATGTTGGGTTCATGTACAGGATATTGTGCGGAAACGATGAAGAGTCTTAGCAAGTTTTGACACTTTGAAAACTAAATGTTAATTTCCTTTATATTTTCACACCGTCGGATATGGTAATTTTAAATTAAAATACGAGTATTGTAAAATGTAGGCAGTAATGAATATTGGTAAGTTAATAACTGGCCCGGGGTGTTGTTAATAGTAATATAAAATGCAGTTTATTTACTTATTTTTCAAGTGAACACTGGAAGCAGATAATTTCCCGTACAATTTGTACGAATATATTTATAAAGTTGTAATTTAAAAAATATTAATTATTGTTTAACACTAAAAGTTGTACTACCAGGTCATGACAATTATTTTAAAATGGTTTTAGATTCTATATCGTGTCTAGTGCACGCTAATGAACAATATAATTTAAAATGTAATTACATTTCATTTGAATCATTTCAATTCAAATTAAAAAAAGTCAAATTTTCCTATGACATACCATTTAATACGTTGTCGATGTGGATTTAATGCAGTCCATTAATTTCACTTCTAAATCGATTGATGCTGGTCTTAATTAAATGTTTCGGTTGAACTATTTATTTGATGTGTCTAACTTAGTCAGTAATATTGAATGTTTTTTAAACGCTACCTGTTTGGGTCTAGGAAGTAAATATTTGAGTTACCCACGTACGTTTGCTTCATGTGTCAGTAGTTGTTCAAACAGTTGTAATAACGTAACTTATGCAAATCACTCACAGCGTTTAAATTCTTGATAAACCGTACCGTTCTTCTTTGATGTGACCCAAAGTTCACGCACTACACCGGCCTTTAATCTGTAGACCAGGTAGGTGCAGTTAAACGAAAATTTAATACCTACCGGATACGCACCAATGTTTTACTGACACTATCGTCATTTGCTGTGATATGACTATAAACATAGCAATAGTTTTAGACGCAGTTTTAATTGAAAAAGTTAAGTATAGACGGGATTCAGTCAAGAGGAAATCAGACTCTTTTTACATTAGTATTGATTGATATTTATAAGCGATTAAAATCACTGTCGTAAAATGCTTAAAAAATATTTGAAATACTTTTTTAAAAATTAATCATATCCGTTAATTATATAATTTTCAAATTTAGACATCGATTACACTTTGAAAACAATACGTCGGGACGTATTTATTATTGTAATCGTTTAGCAAATTAAATAAACTCAAATTTTATTTAATTTTGAACGGTGTAAATGTTCCATTGCTAAGTAAAACCCTTCAAAACCGCCCATTTTTATCAAAAATTGTATGGGTATAACTCCTAGATATTAAGTTTTCTGATAATTTTTATACTATCATTTTAAATTACATTGTAGCTTTAAAATGAATGAGCAAGTTTTTTTAAACTTTATGAAAAGTTTAAAAGAAAAAAAATTATATCATCTTAAAGCCTCATTTTACTCTGAATAACTGTTGAATTAAAAAAAAAAATGTATGTTATCGGCAAATATTTGAGATATTATCAATTAAATTTTCGCAATAGTTAAAATGTTATTTTATAATTATGGGAAAACTAAAAGTATTAATATCGACAATATATTTTAATATTAAATATTATAATTTTTCGAAAAATTCCCTGTTTTTACGTTATTTTAATTCCAAGTTTTAGAGTATAGAGTAAAATCCTCAATTTGAATGGTTATACCGTCAGCGTTTAATTAGATCATTGTAGCTCTCCTTTGTTCAACAGACAAGGCGCTTAATACTCTATTGTTGTATTAATTTATAATTTTCGTTGAATGCAATTGCAGTTTAATATTCTTCGAAGAATTGAAAAATTTGATTGCGAATTCTTTTATTTTAATTATTAAATTAAATGTATATTTTTAAATGTTAAACATTGAATTTATGTTACTGAAGAAATTTTTGTTCAAGTAGTAAATGGTACTAATTTATACTGTATCAATACAATTTATACTCATGTAGTAAACATAGCAAATCATAACATTTAATTAAGTAATTTTTTTTTTTTAATTTAATACATTCAACTTTTCTCTTATACTCAGTCAGACGATTGACTTTTGAAATATAGTAAATAATCACTTTGAGCTCAAATATAGCTAGTTAATCTTGTAAAAATATGAAAAAGTTCAAACATTGGTGTATATGTTTATAACAGCGATTACCATTTAAAGCCGTATAGCCTCTAAAACTAACAGTTTGGTAAATGAATTGCAGTAAATTAATCGCTGTGTTCAAGTTTATGTGTACTTAGTGTGTGGTTAAAGACGGCACTGTACTTAATCGTTAGCACATGGCCTTGTATGTAGAGTATATACATAATATAATAGAGAAAGAAAAACGTACAACAAAGCTGTGGAAGAGAAATACCCTAATTAAACAAATACTCACAACACTCCCTGTCGCTTCGTTTCGTATGCAACCATACTGTGATTATTGTATTTCTCTCTTTACGTGTAAGGGATTCAATGATATTCCGAGGCATTACAAAAGTTTAAGCGAAATTTAACTGGTATTTAATTAAAACACATTCAATGGCATTGTGGCAAAGATAAATTTATTAGCTGCCGTTTGCATTTAATTTAATAGAATAACGACAATAGTCCTACATGATAGTATGCACCTGTAACAGAATGTTCCAATAGAATTCTGCATGGTTTGTGAGATCAATCCATTATTAAAACTTAGGTAACCGAGTGAATTTGTTCGGAAAATCTAATTGACTATAACTCTGTCCATACAAAGTTTAACCTCGTGCTATGTAGTGTAAAACGAAGCTTTTTATTCCCAAAAAGGATGTAATATAAATTATATATATATATATATATATATTTTTGGTGACGTTCCAAATAGCAGTTAATTATTATGGGCCGGTTCAAATAATGGCGGTACCTATTGTTTTATTTTTCAAAAACACTTGTTCCGTTGTTTTTTTAAATTTGTATTGCTAAATGTTGGTTGTGTATTGATTGGACGAAATTCAGAAGTGCTTTTTATGGTAATCACGTTAACCGTTAGCATTTTCCTTTTCAATTCTTCTGATAAATCGACCAGGGAAATCAAATCGCGAAGAGCGTGTCTTACATACAAGCCAACATTTTGTTAACCAAATAGTTCGCTAAAAAATTTACTTATCTCATTAAAAATGATTAAATAGTTAAATCAGATTCATTCGATTTACACACATCAATCTCAATGTGCAATATACTATACATACATTTCTTAAAAACACAAAATATACAGATACAATTTAAGTAAGTGTATAAAAGTCGACCATTTCATTGAATTTTATTATGGAATCATAATAAATATAACATATTTTATTTTCAAGAATATAATTTTTTTTATGGTTTGTAATTTCGATCATGGTTATCAATCGAAATAATTTCGGTTTTTGGCATTTTTCCGTCTACCTAATAAATTAGTTTATTGAATTTTTTTTCTCGTATATGCTGAAAAATGAACATATTTTCATGAAAAAATTAGTGAAACATTGGATTCTAAATTCTATAATGTCACTTTTTAGATTTTAAAATTGATTTTAAAATACATTCGGGTTCTAAAATTATTAACCTTACAAACTGTATAAAAAAAAATTAGTATAGATAAATTAACTTACTAGATATACTAAGAATTTCCAAAAAACCGAAATAATTTCAGACACTAGTCCTGATTTTTAAAACTACGATGTATCTCTAAAAACTATGTTAAGTTTTTCTTTAAACAGAATTTATATAGTAACAATATCTATAACTAGTCATAAATCATTAAATTATCGTATCTTCAAAATTATGAAAAAATTTTAAAATTTATAAATTTTATGTGTTTATTTCATTAGTGACCTAAAACGTAACGATCATACCCAATAAATCACGTTACATGGGTCCACTTCGGTGCGAATTTCTTATGCATAAAACATACATTTGTCTATAAAGGCATTTACTAACATTGTATCTCTGCAAAGGCGGTGTATTAGTATTTGGGGGATGTTTGTTTATTCGATGAAGGGTTTAGCTGAAACCCGGTATGCACCCGCTTCTATGGTGTTATAAATTACTCTTGGCCAGTAACCTTATATCCCTGTCGTCGATATGAGCATTCTGATAACTATGCACGACCTACTCGTATGGTATCCCCTTCATTGTCTCGTATAAGTAATATAGGAAAAGTTTCCTGGTTTTTAACCAGCAAAGAAATTCCTTAGTAATATTTAAATAAATCTTCTATTAATAATCACATGTCAATAACACATAAGAACATTTTATAAAATTGTTGATATCTAAAACACAATCTTAATAATTGATTTGTTCACCTACTCCTTGAACTGTTTTTATAGATATACAATTTTCTCAAATTTATTGTATTTTTGTTTCAAGTAATTAATTACTGTTTGAATCTAATCAAACAATAGGTGACCTCTTTTACAGCGATGTTTGTTGATATTTTGTGTTTAACTCACGGGTAGATTAGTGTTTATTTAGTTGTGTATCAAAACAAGCATAGACTTGACAGTGATTGGTCAATGAAGTTCAAAATATTTCCTGGTACATTCATTTTACTCCAACATAAATATAATACATGTGTTGTAAAATGTTATCAACTTGTCCAAGTGTGTTGTGCTATTGTTCGTATATTTTGACAAACGTACTGTTTATAAAGCGTATCTCTTTTGTCATATTGTCAACCAAAAATATTTTACATCCAGTCAATTTGATGTGCTCGTGTATCTTTTACGGTCCATATGCCTATGAACTAGATCGCTTGTTAAAAGAATACACATCAATGCTTTTGTCGACACAGTATTATTTTATTATCAACATACATTTTTAAAATAAAGACATTTTATGTATGAAATAAATCATAAAGTATCCAATAATTCAAATGATAGTATGGATGATCTTCCAATATAAAGTCCATAAGATGATAATAGAAAAATGACGGTTATGTAACATTAATTAGTAATGCCGACTTTAATTTGCACAATTATTCGTAATTCTACATTAAGTTATTTTTAATTTTCAAAATTCTGTTTACTTTAATATATTTAAAAAAGTATTATAATTTTTGGAATACTTTAAGCTCAAAATTGTATTTTTATGTAGGTAAATTTCGTATCTATTTTAACATTTCCATTATCAACGTTTTAACATAACATAATTGAACTCATTAAGTTTCGCAGAACATTGTCAACATTTATCAATCATATTATCTGAAGCATACCACCATCATATTCAATTAGTCATGCCATTAAATGTATACATTTTGCTTTAGATATACCTTCCAATCGTCATTTGAATAAATAAATTATTAGAATTTATCACATAACTACCATAATTTTATGGAATATTCAATTACTAGTTTATTGGTATATTTATTAAGTGTTGTGCGTTTTTAAAGTAAAATAATCTACCAAATGAACAAAAAGCAGACGGTGTTTCTCATTGATCTTTTAGTACACTGTACAATTATACTATAAATAAACTTTTAATGCATCATAAAATATATCTTGCATAAATGGAACATTTTAATAGCTCTTAACAAGACTTTATGTTCCATCATGTATGTTGGATGTAAACTTCATAATGTATGTTCACCTATACACTCAGGCAACTCAAATAAAATTATTTGTTGTTAAAAAGCATAGGAATTCATTGGTTCTGTGGAAAATCAACTTACTATGAGTTTATAGGCCTATTTATACTGACCCATAAAATATTATCAAAATAAAACATTATTAACGCTCATTAATATACCTTAATTGCAAAAATATTAATGCACATTAATATAAATAATAACTTTATTTAATTTTAAGATTTTGATTATAACACTAACATTTTTTTTTTTTTTTTTTAGAAAATTACGTCAGAAACGAAGTTTACTGTAATAAATCGGTCATTGAAATTTTTGACTTTACCATAATAAAATAAAAGTAAGTTAAATGTTTATTAAATATATGTTTAGTAATAATAATAAAAACATTAATTTTTGGCAAAATACTAGTATATAAAAATCTTTATAATTTTTCTTCTATCATATGTAAATATTTTGTTCACCTTACATGTTGTTTTATAACTAATAATCGTGCGATGGTGATTTAACAAAGTATTTTAAGAAAGAACAATAATTTCCCTCAAAAGATTAACACTTAATATTGAATATAGAATAAAAAATTTTGAGTATAGGGGTAGTGTATTTTGTTGATTGTTTTAAATATGTGAAAGTATTTATTTTATGTTAATGCTACAATATTATTTTAATTGCAAATATGTACTTTAGTACTGTCAAATACTTACAAAATATGTACACAGAAATTAAAAAAAATTATTTGACCTTCTATTGTAGTTCCTTAGATATTAATTATGATGTAAAATTATTTATTTGCTTGTCATTTTTATTTGAAAAAATTATAGGAAAATATTCTTATTAAATATTATTCAATCTAATTAAATTAATATGATTGATATTTATATAATTTAAATATTACGAATTTCAATTCTATTATTTTGTTAATATAATTTTTATTTGTTAATAATATATTTAATATGTGTGAAGAATGTACTTACATATAAAAAAGACGTGGAGGATGATATTATTTTTATGCATAGTATACATAAAAAAATATCAACTTACGCGTTCCGTTAAAATTGCCTTTGATCATATTGATATTTTTATTGTTTCTAATATTAATATTTATGGCTAAAATATTTACGTTTTTCAAATTTTTAAACTTATCAGTGAAATATAAAGCTTGTTTCACTTTTCTAAAAGTCTGTTGCTCTTTACATAATACTATAGTACTGTGGTTTTAATCGAGGCATAATAGGTGTCATTGCAGTCTTTTAAAATGTTTTAACAGTTTATAACATTAAATAAAGACAAAAATAAAAATGTTATAGTTATATCATTTCATAGTTATTTTAATTATAAATTATTTTTATACAGAGTGATTGGATTATTATAAACCACTCTGAATTACTTAAATTTTAAAATAAATACAACATTGAAAATAAATTTTGGGAGTAATTGAGATAAATTGATAACTCGAATAAAAGTACTACATGCTGAACGCTATTAATTTCATAAATCTTCGATCATTTATCATTTTAAGTAACATTTGGGTAATATGTATTTGAGTTCTGAATACAATAATTCCAAAACTTTAATGTTGAAATTATTGATAATACTTCTAAAAGAAATGTATAATAATAATATGTGCATTATTTGAAGACACCCATACGTGCAATTTATTCAGTAATCGCTATATGTAATTCAGAATGTATTGTGTATTTGTATGTACAGTAAGTCAAAAGATTGATGAACTCTCATAATTCAGTAATATTTTATATTAAAATGTACATAATAACATTTTACTTGTCTAGAATACTGACGAAACTCGTATCAATACTTTATAATGTATTATTAAACAAACTAGTAACTTAAGTTATTAAGCATCAATTTTTTATTAAAATTGTACTTATAGTAATCTTTACATTTCGCAAACAAATAATTAATACATGTTTTTAAAACAAATAGGTGTTTATTTTCAAACATAATTGTATGGACTTATCTATAATATGTTAACTACCACTAAATATGACAACGAATAATAATTTTCAACTATATTTAGATAATAAATGTACAAAATTTTACAATTATGCAGATTGTGTTTTTATACATTTATACGTTATTTCTGTATATTGTAAGTTACAGGTTATATTGTAAGTACAGGCATCTAAATATGATATTGTATAAGATATGCAAGTGAATTTACATACTTAAAAATCATTTTATTTTTTAAATTTATTTTAATCATAAAGGAAAAGTTTTCAGATTGAATAAAATATGTTCAGTTGATATATATTATGCGAAGAAACTTAAATGTGTAACCTATCAATTTCAATCACTATGCCAATGTTATTTGTACTCATATGAGCATTTAGAATAAATTTTTAGGAGTGCTAAGTTAGTTTTTCCCCACCATTAAACTTATTTAATTTTATTAAAATTTATATAATTTTTTTGGAAGAAACTAATTATTTACTTGGGAAGGCTAAGTTGCATCATTATATTTTATCCTTCGTACTTTCAGTAATTTTATAGAAAATATAAGTGGTTATTATGCAAATGTGACTTGACATTATGTCACTACAGAAAACATCATACACAGTAGAAATTTAACAGTCTGTTCACATTCTTTAAAATAAAATATTTTACAAACATTTTAATAACATAAAAAGTATATCGGAAAACACACACTTCAAGAATTATGACGTTTAATTCATACGGAAAAAAAATGTTAGCATTCTTCAATTGAATCCATTGATATGAATTTATATTTCTGATTCATTTGAAAAATACATCATCAGAGTTCTATTACATTTATGCTGATGACGACGAAAAAAAAATAATGCATAGTCGATAATGTTAATACATCACATGAAATCGGTATAAAATAAGTGAAAAACAAAAGTGAAGCTATGATTTTATAATATGTATGTGACTTCAGCATAAAACTGAAATCTTGAAATATTATGAAATATTTATAACAATATTAAAAAAAAAAAAAATTTATTATATATTTATAAAGATAAATATCAAATTAAAAAAAAATTTTTTTATTTTTTTGACCAAGATAAAACTTTTTCAAACGTTTCATGTATCGAAGTATAGTGTCTGTTCTATAGGTCAGGGAATTCTAATTAGATTTTATATAATTGTTCAATATTTGTTAAATCTATCAACGGTTTAAAATGTTATTCAGTAGCATTAGAGGAAATATAATGTGTTTCCTTTTTGGTAAGATTTGATAAATATATATAAATAAAATAATGCGATGTTCAACTAAATAATAATGGCATCATCACAATATTAATACAATATAGGTAAAATATTTACAAAATTTCATTAGTTTTTTTTTTAAGGCAACAATTCATAATACTTAAAAATTACATATTTAAAGTGTACAATGTTTAAATAACTGTAATATATCATAATTTGATCAGTAAAATTAAAAGAAAATTAAATTTATATCATTTAACAACCTTTTAAGACATGTTAAGATTTCTGAATTAAGTTTTGTACTTTAGAGTCTTAAAATTTTTTATATAAATCGCTGACAAATCCTCGTATTATAACAAATTGGCTTTAGAGATCATAAACGAGAAAAAGTGTTGCAATTTACAGGTATAACTTGAAATATGATTATCACAAAATTAAAAACACTTTTTGTTCATTCTAAGTTTACATACAATCATTATAGAAATAAATAAATTATAGCGATCATTTATGATCTCTCAACTTGGTTCAATATAAGTTAAATGCATAAAGTGCTATTATAAAAACTGCTATAATTGTTGGTGTGCTGTAAACTTTAGGTGTAGCATTTTTGGAAGTTGATTTAACAGATCTTATAACTATAACTCTGCCTTCTATACCTTGATATAACGGTGATTTTAGTGACAATATGTATTCTATGACAGATTCTTCTGTTCCTCCTGTATTATATAAAATACCCGTTTAAATAGTATTTTTTTAACATATTTAATAAAAATAATTTAATTTTGTACCTATTCTATGGAATTCCGAATCTTCTTTAAACATATTGTATTCGTCTCCTCCAGATGCTAAATATTCAGTCATGATTACATTATAGACATTTTCCATAACTATAGGTTCATAGATTGGTACACGACAAATAGAACATCTTACATAAATAGACTGAACTCTCTTACCAAGTGGCTTACTAACATCAATTACTACCTTTAATCCTGTAATATTATTCATTTTTATGACAAATAAATTCAAATTCTTAACCTCTTATGACTAGTTAAAATATTTTATAATATTATTATTTAATTAAATTATGTACATAATTGATGAAATCAGAATGTTTGATTTTTACCGGATACTTGAAGAAAATCTCCATACTTTACATTATCTTCATAACGACGTACTGAGTGTTCGAAGGCTGACCAAATAGCGGACCCCTTAACTTGAATTTTACCCACATCACTCGTAAATGGAAATATTCTTAGCATATCACCTTTAGTTAAATTACCTTACGAAAACATTATGTAATTTTATTTTATGAATGATGAGAATGTTATATTAATTAAGTTAATCAACAATTATATTAGTGATAGTTACCTTCATTCATTGATGTATCGATACTAGCTCGCATGGATCCACTTTGAAGTATTGCTATGGAAGCATCTGTCCATTGTTTCGTGAAATTGAATGTACCGATATATTTTTTGAGATTCTATAATCATAGTATATATTTACAAATCAATTTTAAAAATTTTAATTAGTGTAATAAAACATGACACACATATTCGACGAAAGCATCCGCTGCCAAATTACCAACATTACATTCTCTCAACCGACACATATCATTATCTCCTTCTAAGAAAACTCCAGAAACAGCAACAAACTCATTTATTTTACCAAAAATTTGAGTCTGAACAACTTGAATACGTCTCAAGAGATCGGGATCTATAATATATATATATATATATATATAACATACGACTTCTTATACAGTTGTAGTATAGTACCTGGTTTGATTTTAGAATCCAGTAAAATTGGGTTACCCTCACATTTAACTAGTTCGCCTTTTTTATTGAACTTAATCTTTAATTTACCCATGTATTTGGTCCCTTTATATGCTTGGACTATGGGAATTCGTTTTCTAGTTTCTGGTTGTTCGACCCAATACGGGTAAGTGTCTACTGGTACTTCTATGTCTGGTGGTTGGTCTGTAAATGTTATGATGTTTTAATGTTTGTTAAATGAAATGAAACTAAATCAAAATTATAATTTAGTTTTCTTGACTATTAATACAGTTAAGTGAAATTAGTTTTCAAATTTACATGTAGTTTTTAATTAGAAATGTTAAAAAAGCGTATTACAGGGTAGGAAATAGCTAATCTGAAGTAATACTGTAACCATAGTACTGACATTACTTAGCCAGCATGACAATTAGTACAATTTATGAATACTATTACGATATTCAACAAGAAATTCTCAATATTTTAGTAGAGATTTCTATACTTAGACTATTTATTGATGGAACATTAATATAAAAAATTATGTGCTTCTTGTCAGAATAATTACCATATAGATATGTATAATAGAATAAAGAAGTAAATTTTCTAGGTGCATTGAATGTGTATCCCCAATATGAAAAAAAAATTGATAATAATATTAGACACATGTCGATAGTCACTAAAGATTAATAAGAATCAATGTTTTTTACTTCTTTTATTTACTATGCACTTTAATTTGTGTTTTTTCAACATACATTTTTGCGTAAAATTAGTTGTATTGACCAATTCAATATAGTTAATAATTAATATTTTCAGTATTAACAAATCTAAAAACCAATAGCGTTTTGATAATATTACCATTATATAAAAATGTATTTGAGTGTCCACCAACTATTAAATCCAATTCTTTAACGTGTTTGGCTACTTCTTTGTCTACATCAAAGCCAGAATGGCCGAGACCTATTAATATATCGACACCTTCATTCTTCAATCGTTTTGCTTCGGCAGATACCGACGGAATTTCAGGTAAAAATATAATATTACCTGTACGAGATCTTAGCTAATATAAAATAATATATTTAAAAACAGTAAAATATTTCAATAACTTACAAAAATGTAAGTTATTGGTAATAAATTGCAAAATTTTACATACCTTTGTAGATGGTATCAAATATCCAATAATGCCAATTTTTTTCCCATCTACTATTAAAACTTTAGATTTTGTTACTAAATTACTGTTGGCCATTTTTGATTCCTTTGAAAAATCGAGGTTACTAGACACAACTGGTATATTAACAGTCTTAAGAAATTCATATAGATTGTCGACACCACTATCAAATTCATGATTACCCAGACACTAAAATAAAAAAATTAAATTATACATACAAATAAATCTGTAACAACTTGTACATATTTCATTTAAGAAGAAACGATTAACTGAAACTGTAAATAATAAAATTTATTATTGTTATTTTATATTCCACACATACAAAACTATAATTTTTTAATCATTTAGATTTTCAGGGAAACTTGATTAGTTTAATTAAAACTATTGATCAGTTTAATATAATATCATTTAAATTATATTATCTGATACTACTAAGTGCGATTTTAGTTTATAACAATAATCGGAATCGATTATTTACTAGTATAAATAATATAATCTATTGTCAATAATTAAATCTATTAATTTAATACGAACGATTGTTTATGTGTAGTCATTGAAATTATATGTATTACAAAACTTTAAATTATAAATGAATCATATATTATGCAATTCATAACTAACATTGCTGGAATTAAATTTTATTACTGGCGGTAACCTTGTCAGTAGCATACGAAATAACTTCTACTTTGACATAACTATGTTCAAAAGAAGATTTTAAACCTAAAAAAATTATTATACATTGCTATTTTATAATGAAAACTTTGATTATTAATACGTTACTTCTGTGATATTTCAAAAACTCCTATATCAGTGAGATGTTTGTAAGTTATTAGTTTAATATTTTACTTATTTAAACTGATGTTTCTCATAACTTGTTAATTTTAATTTAGAAAAATTTTGCCTTTTCTATAGTAATAAATGCCATATCGAAGATTTTTTTTATAAATTATCGTTTAATTTTACTAAATTTTAACTATCTAAAGCATAATCAATAACATGGATAGCTAACAGAAATGTATAAATTATAACTTTGACAATTCGTAGTTGTAAAATTAAAAAATTTAAGCTTATTGGTTTTTTGAAACTATTGATTGGAGTAAACTTGAATTATATATTTTTGAAGTAATAAGTGAGGCATATAAATATACTAAAATTAACTAAAAAATTTAATTAGTTTCTTCTTCATTTATTTAATGATTTTCTTTTAATTAGCGAGTATAGTGAATGCTTAAAGATCATTTGCATCTATTACATTATAAAAGAGCTTTAATAAATTAGTCAGGTAAAATTATTCTATTTTAGAGTATTTTAATCTTTTACTCATTTAATTCAAATTCAAATTCAAATTGTTTGTATAAACCATCAAATTAATAGGTATGGTTAATAAATAATATACAACTGTAACTAGTTCAATGCTAACAAGGTTTCTCAGATTTTTCTAAAACACATAACAGCTTATTTCGAATTATTAAATTTACACAATAATCAAGTTTTGTGCATCAAAGTATATATCAATAATTTTTTTTTCAAGTTTAACATTCTTTTTGAAAACAATTAATTATGTCAGAGAAGACGGGAAAACCTACGTAACCTAATACAACGGAATCAAACATTTTTGTACCTATGCACTGAGACATGACGTGTTACTGACTGACCTAGGCAAGCCGCTTTAAATAATATACTTTTTTTGATGAACAAAAGAGTTTAATTCTTGTTCAAGTGAAACATTAATTAATTGAGGCCTTATTAAAATCTTCCTGGCCAATTATGAAATTAAATTACATTTAACTAAAAAGACTGTTTAAAATGTATAGAGGAACTTAATAAAATATTTAATTCAAATAAAAAAAAAAAACAAATATATTATTTAGTAGTCTTTAAACATAAATTATTTGATAAAACTCGTTTTCGACATAGTTTCTTGCGTATAATTTTTTTATTTTAATGCATTAATAGGAATTAAAATTAAGTCTTAATAAATTGCTGAGAAGTGTCTTCTAAAATAGACGAATACCAATAATATTATTTAAATGTAAATTTATGTATTGGTGCAATGTGAACATTTTTATTGAACGCAAAATTTTCGAATTTTATGTTTTTATTGTATGACCCTTAGTGGAGACAACTATACGAAACATTTTAAGATATAATTTCACTGTTCATTTTTTTTCATACAAATTATATAAATATAAATATTTAATAGTATTATCGTTTACATGTTGCATTACAAGATTTTATTCAAAGACCTAACTTAATAATTAATATGTACTCAGTGTTAGATTTTGGCGTTTTATTAGATATTGAAATATAATTGTAATAATTAAGAACAATTTGGAATGCTTACCATCACATCAATTCTGAGGTGTTGTAACATTTCGACAACAAGTTTCCAGCCCAGAATAGTGAAGAATGTTGATCCTTGAAAGGTATCTCCGGCGTTTAAGGAAATAAAGGGCATTGTTATTTCAGATGCCTCTTTAAAAGCAGCTTCCAAAGCTGTCTTCATTCGTGCAAAACCTCCATAGCATATTTCATTTTTACCACACGGGTTTAGATATTTGTCAACTTCAGCAAATCTAGAATGCATATCATTGGTGTGTACTAACATCAATTGCCAGTTTTCCGTATTGTTATCTGGAACTGCCATAGTATCACAAATCACAATACTTATTGAAAGAATAAGAAATAATGAAAGAAAATCAGATGACGGCAACATTATTTTTAATTTATTAAAATTTCCGATTTCTTGTTGCCGAGTCGGTAACATGAACTATCCATAAACACAATAAAGACGTTTTCCCTTTTATTATTGGAAGCAGTTATAATTACACTCGCATCTAAGCAACACTGTTATTTCTGAATATATGGCGACTTAAGACTGAACGTTAGAACGGTTACTTTTCTACCGGAGATAGAGATTGCAGAGAGGGAAGATAAACTTGTATTAATTAGTAATTCACTATTGTGTTACATGTGATATTGTTCGTTATCGCCGTAATTGCTAATACAACTTCATAGTATTAAGACCTCAACTATAATAGTTGTTTCAATTGTAGTGTGAGAGTTAAGGACACGAAAAACCGCAATAGGGAAAAATGATTCCAATCAAAATATAGAGTTTAAATAAAATTACAACTGTACAAAGTTACATGAAATTTATGTACTATTTATTGCTTGGAAGCATAATGCAACTCGATAGTTAATTTAGATAAATTTTATTGAAATACATTATGTGACGGAAAATTGTTAAAACCCTCTATAAAAATTGACTAAATCATTAGAATACTTATGAGACTTTAAACAATTTTTATCGGTTGAACGCGTTTAAATCCCTTTTTTTTAGAAAATTTCAAAGTTTTGGCGTTTTGTGTTTCTAAACTTTTAGTATTTGCGCTAATTTTTGATCCCAATACCTTTTTTGTTAACATCGTTTTTGCTCCTTGAAGATTTTTGGTGAACATTTAGGTATATTCAGCAAGAAAGCTATTTAAAAAAAAAACTTGTATACAAAAAGTTTTTATCTATCTTTCGACAGCGTATCGTCGAGTTTGTATTGTGACTCGATAACCCACCACATATTTGCTTAACAACTATTATGAAATCCATTCAGTTATATACGAACACGAATATCCTTTTAAATAATTTTTTTCCTTTTTTTCAGAGCAATCAAAACTTGCTAAAATAAAAGGAAACAGTAATTCATGAAAATAACGAGTAAAATGTCTTAATAATCATTTATTCCTGTAAGTAAAAATAATTAAAAATACTAGTAAACATTTTTTTATAAGTCCTATAAAAGCTTATAACTTGTACTACCATTAATAAATACAATATTATTTTTTATAAAAAAAAGTGTAAATCGTGTACACATAACATATTGTTAAAGCAAGAATCATTTTTCATGATAAATATGGAGGCGATCGAGATTAGTATTATAAATCAACTAATATTAATTCAATATTGATATATTTACAATTGGCTTTAATTTTTTATACTTTTATCACATTTCCATTGTTTATTTATTAAATCGCCAGTCCTGATTATCACAGAGTAGTAATTATATTGTGCTTCCATGATGACTGTTTGATATTGGTTTTGTGTGTCAACCACAGTGTGTCATTCAAACTTGGCCATTATAATTATTTTATTGTTAGGGCGTTTTAAGTTTTTAACGATTCAAGGGTCATACTTATTGAGCTACTCAATCAATTTGTTCTATAGTAAGGTTGTTATTAGTTTTTGCACGCTATAGGGTTCAATTAATTACATCCACAGTGTTTGATCTAAAAAAATGTTGGAGAATAATCATATAGGGATACAAGTTAACGAGTCAAGTTTTCTTATTAAAGTGAAAACCATCGAGACCGATGCCATAGCTGTCAAGTTGAATTTCGTTATTGCATCATTTGTTTGATTTTCTCTTTGCCTTTGGTAGAAACTTAGTAGACTGATCGAAACGAAACGAGCACAAGGGAGCAAATGCATAGTACATTCTGCTGTTATTAATAAAAGCAAGCGGGTGCCGTCACTCGAAAATGTTGATTATGTATTATCAGCAACAAGAATCAGAAACCACTCATGGTTTATAATAGTAAAACCTTAATTTAATTCAATAATTCTTTTCACGAACGCTTACAATAATTTACAATAATCGTAGATTATAATAAATAGCATATGAGGTCGTCTTGTGTGCGTACTTCCTAAGTTTGTATTCGGCGTATGGTTGACACTATTAAAAATTTTCAAGTTTAATTTTTTGTAATATTTTAATGAAATAACACGTATCGATTTCAAACATAAATGTTATTAAGTTTCAAGACCAAAGCTTATCGATTTACGCGTCGGTTTTACCTTCAAATCCGATTATAGTATAACATTATATTATACTTTTACAAAGCCCTATCCCAAAATTCGGATGACAATAGTATCTTATTATCCAAAGCAAGCTTATATTGAACATGAAAAATACTGAACCTTTTTTTCTGTGACAATACATTTAATGTCATTCGTTTAATCTATTTATGACATTTAAAAACTAGATAACTTGTAGTGTAATATTATCCATGTATTTTTAAGATATATCTCATTAGTTAAAAAACTTTGATCTATAAATACTTACTCAGTTTCATTTAAAACAATAGATAATAGTAAATATTTAATTCTATAAATTTACTAGTACTATTAAGAAATCGTTTAGATATGTTTTAAATGTTTTTAAATTAAATATGTATGAGCTTCCACAAAACCTTTCTACTATATATCTAATAGTGTTATCATTTTTATATTGGCTATAAGTGTAACAACGTTACATTTAAGTAGCTTTATTTTTTTGACTAAATCATCAAAAACATATGTACCTAGCTTTATATGTATCGATTTTATTAATTATTAAAGCAATTGTCTAAGAATTCATTGATATTGTAATTAATATATTAATAATAATACTATTAGGAATACTAATTAAGTAATTAAGTAAAACAATACAAAAATATATTTCATTTCAGATGTTTTACAAGATATCAATTTCATAAATTTTTTATTAAATTTTAAGCTAGATCTTTAAATATTTATATTTAAATATGTTATTCTTTAACTATTAATTTATTAATTGACGGTTCTCGTAGTTTTATTTGTTAAAATTGTTCACCAGCATCAGCGTTCTATTTTGCGGTATATAAAATCAATAAAATAAAAAATAATTTTAATTTATTGAAGTTTCATTCGTTATTTGTTTAGTGTTATGCTCATACATCAGAATAGTTCATAATTGAATATGGTTATTTGGAAAAAAGTTTATTTTATTTCAATAATAAATTATGAACATTTATAGGAATATCATTGAGCATGTAACCACTGATGGATCCTTAACTCTTAAGTAACTGATAAAATATTTACAATGAAAAATGTTCAAGTAGTGTTTAAAATATCCAAATGGGATCTTCTCAAAGGCACTCAGGCGTCTAGTTAATATGCAAAATATATAGTAAAATAAATTTTACGTACTATAAACATGTATTTTTATGCGCAACTTTAAACTTATTCTCCAGGAAAACTTCAGAGTCTTTTACCTTATCATTTGTTATCTGACACAAAAAACCTATCTGTACAAAAAACCAGCATGCATGTGTCCAACGTAATTCAAATGAAATGCATCAAAAAGTTCACTGAGTAACTTGGTAAAAATTTCTAAAACTTATTGTATTCATCATATTTGTTTACACGGTAACTTTGAAATATATTTATACAAATTATTTATAAGCATGTAATTGTTGTATAAAAGCTTTTTCGTATTCATTCGACTTTACATATTTCCTCTATAATAATGTATAGTATAAGCAAAGCTGCTGTCAACCTTTCACAAAATTTTGAAAGGTAATACATTTAAGTTTTTGCAACGTGAATAACTATATGGCTGACACATCTTTTATTGATGACATTGTTCAAAGTATGATGTCAAACAGTAAGTTATTTAATGTTTAAGTTCAACATAATAAGGTAGGAAACCAATTATCTTACATCATGCAAAACTCTGTTATCTACCGAGTACTGACAAACATTCACCTTAATAATTACTCATGTAACTACAATAATAGTTACTAGATAATTTAATATTCCCTTTGATCGGAAGTAAAGTCATGGTGCTTATCAATAGAAGTCTAATTTAACTCAATTATAGTATGACATTTGATGATTTAAAGAGAGTATTATTCAAGTATCGATATGTTTTATCGCATTAAGTATATCTAATTGGAGTCTGCTAGTAGTTTTGTTTACATAATGATCAAAATACATGAGCTAATTGAACAAATAAACCAATTTAATATTGTTTTGTGTTATTGATATTTTTATATAAAATGTAGACTAAAATAAATGTAGTCAGATTTTGAATTTAAAAATAATAACGGAGTATATAAAACATTAATTATCTGCAGTACCAACAATACATTTTGAGTAACAATATTTTTTTGAAAAATTTATTTTATTTCTGGAATAAAATAATAACATTATACATATTAGAACAATATAGTTAAAGATTTTTAAAGTGCTAACCTAAAATACGGGTTTCTTTTAAAAAGTTTTATAAAGGCCATAAAACTTTTACTCTGAAATTTGCACACAAAAATTTTTTTTTGGTTTAATAACGGAAAAAGACGACGGCCAATAACTTTTCCGTGCGTTTTTTTACAAGATATTATTCAGCTATTTTGACAAGATAATTAATATTCAAATGGTTAATGTGTACAAGTTTTTCGAACGGGCTTAGGTGAAACTGGGGAGAATAACTTAACTTTAAACATGAACTGTAAATTCAATTTCACTTGAATCGGGTTCATATTTTAGTTATGCCAAAATAAATTGAATAAAAAAGTATTGTTAATTATTTAATAGTTAATTAATTCTGAACTATTTTAGAAAAAACATTATGTAGTTTATTTTCCCGGTATTCCTTAATTACGTTATTATATATACAAGTGCTAATTTTTTTGTACTTTGTAAATTTTTGTCACTAAGTAGTTGTAAACAGTTTTTTTGTTTGCAAGAAACATAATATATGAAATAGTTAAAAATTAAATAAAAACTGAAATATGAAATGTCAGTGGTTTATTTTAGAGGTTAGGGGTCTTTATTTCTCTAATGAATAGCTATTCTTAGATATTTATTGTAAATAACCTTTTTTATTTTCTCATCAAGTTTTTTTGTTACCAACTTGAATATACTCTTAGATTTTCTTCTCTAACATCATAAATGTTTTTATTTGTCAAATTAATCAATTAAAATGCAAATGACAACCAACTCGTAAAGACTATTCATAAAAAAAAAGTCGTTAATCAAGAGAATTAAACATTTTTTTAACTTAATGGAAAAATACATTTAACATTAATGGATGTTAAAGTGTTAATTTAAAAAAAAAAATGAAATGTGAGCTTCTATTTCTGAGCAAATGTTCAACAGATCTCAACGATTTAGTCATATTTTCGTCAGTAATAAAACTACATCTGACACAAACTTTATATTTAAATTCTCTTTAAATGGAAGATATAAAGATTAATTGAATATAAAAATTCTAGAAAATATCTTATAAAAATTACGGCGTATACCGCTTTTTTAATAAGTAATTATTTATTAATATAAATTAATTAAACTCATTATGTATTATCAATTAATATTTTGCAAAAAATTTAAACTAATTGGTTATTTTGAAAATTTCTTTGAAATCTATACTAATGGAATATTATGTTATTTTGAATTTTTGGAAGATGTTAACTACGCATAGTTAGATTATTTAGTTTTTATTAAGATGGTTGTTATACACATAAGCTATGATATATTTCATTTATTTCGCTTTACAAAAGAAAAGTATATTATACAGTTGTATTATATTTTTCTGGTTCCCTAGATTTTTATCATCTCATTGTGATCCAACCAACCATATTTTAAGTGACACTATCCTTAAAACCTTACAAATATCTCATATTTTCAAATGGAAAATTTTATATATTGCTGCAATTCAATTTTCTTAATAATCTACTTCAATTTTTTGACATTTTCCGTATTATCCAAAATGTACCTTATTATCTATTAAAAGAAAAAATTTCTCTTGAACTATCTACTTATATTATAGTCAATCTAAAAAAAATATATAAAAAATAAAAACTTATAGTACGGAGTCGTATAAAAATATTGATCATAAAATTTGTATTTCAGTATGCATTCGACAATGGCAAATACAAGTAACAATCTT